CGCGGCAGACTTTTCCAAACGCCGGCGCTACCTCGGAACACAAGGCACGGCCGAGGTATCCAATAACGGATGGAGGGAACTTTTCGGGTTCGACCCGCCATCAAATTAGCATACCGCTCCAGTACGCTGCGAGTAGCCCGCCGTATCTCTTCTACCGAGACCATCCGTCCCGTTCGCGTCGATAGATCAGCGTGATTCAGAAACAGCCGGGGCAAACACGGTAATTGGTATTGCATCACCGTTTCGTTCGCGGGGTTCCGCCGGGCGGCGCGGCGTAGGTGTGGGGCTAGACGGAGATGTATACGCGAAGACGGCACCTAAATTGGCCGCGTTTAAATTGACCCCGGGGCGGTTGAATCAACGTAACAAGAAACGCTTGGGGTTCGTCGATTGATGCGGCCATCAGTAACCGTCTTCGGGACCCGAAGCCCTCTCCGCGCTCGCCGCAGGGGTTGTTGCGCCGGAAGCGCGGCCGTCACAGGTTCGAGGGAGTTCGACGATGGTCCTTCATGTTTCCGAGCAATTCACTTACTTTGATTTGATTGGCCCCCGCGCGTATGATCCGGTTTTGGCGTGCTCGCGCGATCTTCGGCTGCCCCGGGGGATGGGGAGAAGGTTAGGAGGGTTGGCCGCCGGGCCGCGGCGGAGCGAAAGGGGAGGCTTTGGCATCGTGTTTTGCGAACCGCCGGCGCGGAGTTATATCGGCAAATCCCCGGCAGCAATCAACGTATTGGTTGTTCTTATTAGAGTTGGCAACAGCCGAAGTCCCTCCCTCCCTCTCCCCTTCCGCCCCTCTGTTTATGGTCCGCTACGTCGAACCTCGGCAGTTCCTTCCATTCGAGAGGATCCCTGCCGACTCGTAGCGTCCTAAACGAGCCGTGAGCGTATCCGGTTAACCCCCGCGACTGCCGCCACGCTCGTTCGAGTTCGCGCTTTAATCTACTCGTATTTTATAACGGGCTGCCGGCGAAGGAAAGAACCGCCGGCCCGATAGGGAATTTCGGTTCTGGACGGAGGAGGTTCCAAGTGATTATAGTTGGCAAATGTTTTCCTCGGGAAATTATCGTTGATGTGTGTTCTTACGGGATCGCGAAGTTTCGAACGATAGACAAGTTCGCCTATGTCGGAGACGAAGATATTATATTCTAAAGTGCCAGTGTTTCAGATTTTACAATCAATTATATATACTTTCGTAGATTACCGTATGCTCGATCTTCGCTGAAGATCTAGTCGTCGGAAAGTTTTTATGAACTTCACCCTGTAGTTTGACGTACACTCGATAATCTTCGCTTCCTGAATTAACTCTTTCCACGCGAGCCGCCTTGTTGATTTAAGAGACAAGTTTGAAATATTGTCGTTCCAGAATAATGCCGAGAAAAATAAATGTCCTTTTCGCACAAGACAGCCCCGGGTCTCTTTCTATCCGAGCGCAGAACGAGTCAAGAGAAGGTGCTACCCAGGGGGTGAGAATTTCTGACGATATACGAGGAAACGTTTTTCTTCCTTTCGTTTTTTTAAGAAACCCGTGAGTTATAGCCGAAATATTTTCAGTCTAAGCGCGTTCCTCTTTGTCTACCTTTCTCGCTTTCTCTTTTTCTCTCGCGCCCGCTTCTCCCCGCCGGTCTCCCTCGCTCCGCCGGTATCCAGCGAGATCCTCTCTCTCGTTCCCCGGATGAAACACGTTTCACGGTCTCAGCATAAAATTTATCCACCCCCCTTGGTTAAACAGCCACGCACGCCTCTTCTTACTTTTCCGGGAGCGTGGCGTCCTCCGCGTTTCTCCCCCTTAACTTCGTTTCGCTCGGGGATCTCCCACGGGGCGTGCGTAAGCTGGGGCTAGGGGGCTGCGTGATGGCTGACCCCGAAGTCTTCCGAGGGACGAAACGACGGATGGGAAGAGACACGACGTGGAATCTAAGAATTCGATGAGATCTAACGCTCGTATATACGTCTTCCCCCTCACCTCCGCTCGAACTAATTTCTTACCCTTAAGAATACGCCGAGACAATAGTTATCTATATTTTTCCCGATGTTCAATCGCAGGGAAATCTCGTTTACCAAAGAATCTCAATTCAGAAGTTCGTCTACTTCTGTCTGTCTTTTCTAGTCTTCGGAGTGAAAGAGAGCAACACTTGAACTTCGATATAATCTAAAATGAATCTTTCAATACTTCCGTTCCGCAAACTTTCACGCTCGACTGAAACAGAAGCTGAAAATCTGACTGAAGTTCGTCTAAACTGAATTCTATCGATTCACGAATACTTCAAACAAACTCTGCTTCAATTACAAGCTCATTTATCTCAGCCGATAGACTCCAAGAACAAGCAGAGGCGAAAGGTAGTCGAAGGAACAGTCGATCCGAAGGGAAAGAAACGAATCGTTCAAGTTACCGGAGCGAGTATCGCACGGGCGAAAGGGGGGGTTGCTGCAGTCGCATTTTCTGGTTCACGGAGACTTACGAGGCTGGCTTAATTGGCTGAAGCCCCGGTTTTATTTATAAGTTCCAGTCTATCGGCCCCTGTCTCCGTTGTCTCGCCGGCCAAGGGGATGCTCGTTGCCGATATAATTCCGGGGCTGGCGGTTCGGGCAAAAGGGGGCGCGCAAGGAGACGCGGCGCGCGAGAACGGGGTCCACGTGACAAATAACCCTTATAAACGGTACACCGTAACTTCGCAGCGGCGCGCGGAGGTTCGCGAGCTTGCATGACAGCCCGAAATGAAAATCATGGGGATGTTGTGGAACGGCGAAGGGCGTGGAAGGGAGGAGAGCGCGAGAAGAGGCGGCCAGGGGTGGCCGTTCGGACGGCGAGCCACTTGATTACGTTGCGATAATATACATGACGCCGATATGAACTCCGGGTAACGCCGTGTTGTTGCTCGTCCGCGCGATATTGTGTAATGGCCACCTGGAAATGGTCCAGTCCGCACACACGCGCGCGCGCGCGCACGAGAGTTTGCCCGCTCGATAATAGATCGGCGCGGATACGATTGTAAATATGACGCGTTTATTGCGCGCCGTTTCGATTCCTGCTCGACCGTGAAAGTGTGTACGACAAGCCGCGAGATACCAAAGGTAACCGACCGCTTTTCCCGGCCGCGCGACTGCGACCCTGTTTCGGTTTGTAATTCCGATCGAAACTACCCCTCGGGAAATTTGTTACAATCGATGGAAGCTGGACGCGGCCGTTCCCATTTGGGGGCTGAAAAATCAGTAGCCGATTGTGATGTGTGATTCCTTTCTGAGGGATGGGGTTGTTTGGGAATTTATTCCGTTCGAGCTTTGGAAGAGGGATGATTGTAGCTTGTAGTGGACGAGCGCAAGGTATCTGAAGTTTGTTTTGTTTTCTCGAAAGAAGTTTCAATGATAGAAGCGTTTGTGGAAGTAGCATATCATCTAGAAGTTAATCTAATCAAAGTTTCTATTCAATTGTACATTTTAAAACCTTCGCGATACGAACGTTCGGAAGCCAAAAACTCCGCGACTCCAATTCCAAAGACATCATGCAACCCCTAGAACGGCAGCATCGGAGAATTCAATATCAACCCCCGGCGTCACTTATCTCGAGCGCCTAGCAGGGACGCGGGTCGGATTAATTATTCATAACAATTAAACCCTTCGAGTGAAATTAATTTCTCGGTTTATCGCGTAATAAGCGGCGATAGATGGTTCGCGAACGGCGGGGGTTGGCGTGGGCGTGGCGTTTAACCGAAATTAATTGTTCCAAGCGAACGGTTTCGGCGTGTGCCCGTTGGAAAAACCGAAAGGGTTCCCGGCGCGCGGCAGAAATCGTATTACGACCGTTTATACACTTCGATATCAACCGTATGCGAGCGAACCGCCGAGCGAAAGCCAGAGGCAGACTGCTTACGGCTAGGTAGGGGGTTGCTTCGGCCTCTCACTCCCTCCTCGGCGGTCTCGCCGCCGGCAGAGGTGAAACGGGAGGGTTTTTACGAGGCAGTAACGGCCGATAAGGTGAGCTTGCGCCCCCACAGACGGGTTTATTCCGGTACTGTACCCAAGTGGCTGTTCGACAGTACCTATCCCGGTGTCGTACACTCTCTTACTTTCTCCCGGTGGCACCGCTGCGACTCCGGGCTCTATCTGAAACCGTTTACGCGCCTCTTCTCTGTTTCTCCTCTTTTCGTCCTTTTTTTACTGTCTCTCTCTCTCTCTCTTTCTCTCTCTCCACCGCCCTCTTTAAACGCCCACCTAAGAGCATCTTGGGCTCCTCGCGGCGTTATCGCGAACGTTACCGGGATTTCGGAGGACCTCTTGGAAACTACGGCTGCCTTGTACCGTGAAACACTTCTATTTGCTGTTCGTCTACTCGATGGGATTTCCGACCTCGAGATTCTTGCTCTAGAGCTTCGGGATCAGGGGATTTCTGGCCAGGAAGTTGGGAGCGGTTTGCTGTTTGATTTGAGGATCGAAGTACCGGTAGAATTCGCTGATCGGTAGATCGATGGGGATTGAAGTACCTTAATCTAATATGTTCTTAGTACTATGCCAAGTGTTCTTCGATATTTGTAATGTACATACTCCGCTGTATAAGATTTTGGAGGTTCCCGTTACAATCTAGTACCTTCAACGTTCGTTTCTACTGTTTTAACATCTGGGAATCTTAAGGAGATCTGACTTCAACATAGGTCCAAGTAGACCTAGACCCAAATAAGCCATTCCAAATACTGCGACGTCGGATCAACGACTACACCCCAGATGTTAAAATTCCACGTAACAGCCCATCAATAATACATTCCGCGAGATGCGAGTTTCCGTTTCCCGCGGAAGTCTCTCGCGAAGGAAGGACACGGAGTCTCGCATCTCCGGCGAGCGTGTAAACGTTATTATTCTCCGAGCGGACGGGATGCTCGTGGGCCCGGTCGTTCACGGAGGGGGCCGCGCTGCCTCCCTCCACCTTTCGCTCGGGCCCCGAAACGAGGGCCCGAAAAAGACACGCGATCGAGCTCGTTTGAACGGTCCGGCGGTTTTGTTGGTTGCAGGGGCGAACGGAATGCGCAGGCGCGGCCGACAGACCTACACGCGCTACCAGACGCTCGAGCTCGAGAAGGAATTCCACACGAACCACTACCTCACCAGGCGGAGGCGGATCGAGATGGCACACTCGCTCTGCCTGACGGAACGGCAGATCAAGATCTGGTTCCAGAATCGGCGGATGAAGCTGAAGAAGGAGATACAGGCGATCAAGGAGCTGAACGAGCAAGAGAAGCAGGCGCAGGCGCAG